GTAAGTTATTTTTGCAATCATATGCTCAAATCGCATTATTATTGGAAGAAATAAAAGAACTATAACCAAATTTAAATAATAAACTATGAATCTCAATTAAAAATACGTTATATGATTTAACATATACATTAATGTTTAACCAAATCTTTTAAACGACTAATTAATTCTTTGTTGTTCTATATATTTTTCTATTGTCGATTTTTTATTGTAGATGGAGCTCAATTTAGAAATTAATGCAGAGAATGAGATAATTTTTTATGAATACGTTTAATTGTTTGATAAATCGACGTCTTTATAGTTGAATGAATTGAAAGGTAACGCATTGTTTTCCAATTTATTGGATTCACTTGTCGTTTGCGAAATAAATGAAAAGAAAATAAAAAAAAGTTCTGATCGTCGACAACGGTGAAAGCTTTCTCCCTACCTAGACGGTGCACGTTTACTCGAGCCTGTGTGCTTCGCCATGCGAATCGGAGGTCAGCCTAGAATCAATAAAGTGCACAGTCCTGGCAGGGACTAAAACACACCACCGAATGGCAGACGTGTACACGTAAGAGCTTATGCAGTAGCTTTTGTTGGCGAACGTTCACATTTTAATGGAAATAAAGGTAGTTCTTCTCTCGAAGGGAGATGAGGGGCGAGAATACAAATCTCAGGAGATTTCATGGGATTTACAATAGTTGCCCAACTTTTGGAAAATTAAATTGCTACAATTCTCTTGTTACATAAAAATGTTGGCTTGCAGTTGGAAACAGTGCGATTTCCGTTGCAGATATAATTAGTTTCCATGAACAGGATGGCGAAATGTCATACCATTTAATTATCCAATTTCCAGGCTTTGGTAATTAATTCTATACCATTTCTGTACCAATTTTGTTAAAAATAAATGTTATATATGTATAAAGCAAATGGTATGACATTTTGTGCGCTACCCTGTATATAAAAAGTATATAGAATAGTTACGTCTCAACACAATTTAGAAATTAATTTATAAGAAACGAGTACGAAAGGAGAGAAAAGAAGAAAAGGATTTTGATTAATTGAACCGTCTGATCTGTGAAATACATACTTTATGATCGTACAGCTGCATCGTACGATGCAGCTTTCCACAATTAAAGTTCTGATTATTTATTTCTTATTTCCACGTTTGTGCTGTAAAATTATTTCACATATAAACGTCGATTAACCAACGATAGTTTAATCGGAATTAGCTGCATTACGTAATTATAAATATATATGATACTGTATTATATATATTGTATTGAAAATTATAATTTACAATTTAATTTTTACTATATGGTGTTATAATTATAAACAAATTATAATTAATAAGAAGAAAATAAAAATTGACAAATACTGTTGAAGAAATTTTGATTAAATTCAATTATGCAATTAAATTACAATTATAGAGAGTTATAGAAAGTTATATATATATATATATAATTTTATTTATCAGATCATCGGGATACATTATTGCAACAATAAATCTTAGCCTATTTGTAAATGTATTGATGTCGAAGTTATTTTTTATCTCACGTTAAGATCTATGCAAGATAATAACTGGCTTCAAAGCTCGAAAGAAATAGAGCAAATACACATGCTGTCTAGTCACGCTGAAGTACATATGCGACGCGAATTTTTCGCGATATTCGATCGCGGTATGTGGTTGTATGAAAGAGCGTTTTGTTATATATTTGCCACTGTGACTTCAGCAATTCATATAGTAGTAAAAAAAAAATAGCAGAGTAATTGCGCATTTGTGACAAGAAAGGCGCGGTTATACGCGAGGTAAACTTTATATTGACCTGCATCGATTTTGTCGCTGTTGTTTCTTGCTACTTTACATTTGCAATAGCAATCGCTTATGCCAGTATTAATAAAAAGAGGAGCAAATGGGCAAAAAAAGTATTTTGCAAGAAACTAATATTTTTACCGTTTGAATTTCTTTACGATGGAAAAGCCGTACAGGTTTAGATACATGCCATTAAGTTCATAATGAAATTATCGCTTAGAAATTAGAATTAAATAACTGAATTGTTTTGAAGAAAACAATGTAAATATGAATTGTGTAACGAGATTAGTGTCGCAAATGAAGTCACATGTAAAGGTTTGCTGATGAATCGTTGGAAAGATATGCTCGGTTTGACCATTGTCACTGGCTCGTAACGCCTAATCATAAGTCCCTCTCCAGCGATTTACCGGCTCTTCCAAGAAGACCATTTTTTTCATGTCGTGCTGTCGGCGATTACGCTCGATGGCGCACTGTACTCTGCCATTACACCGCGAATAATCTGCTCCCTGGAGTGGCAATATTCACGACACGAAGCTTCTAAATTTTACTTAAGCGATAAATGAATTTCTATTAGTTATTTATAAAAAAATCTATTATTTGTTTATAAATAAAGAGAAAACAGAACAAATTGAAACATTAAGAATGAATTTGAGTTACAAGAAGAAACATTAATTTAAAAAGAGAGACATATTTTACTCGGCAAAGTAAAGATTTAAAATCTTTTGTAATTTAAATAGATCTGTTAAATTAATTAATTTATTTTAAATAAGAAAACATAAGAAAATTAAGTTTGTAAAGAATTAACTTTTTACATCGATATTAATTTAATACAGCACATAAATTCATCATTTTTATTAATTATATAATTTATATCGATAAATAATAACTTATATACAGGTTGACCCATTTTAATATATCACTCCAAATATTTCCGTTTTCTTACATTTTACAAGAAAATGTTTCAGACAAAAGTTGTATGGTTTCAAGGGGGCTATAAAATGGTAACATTGGTTTGGCCTTGAACAGTCGCTTAAAGATCACATGAAGGTCACCTTCAATTTCTTAAATTAAACCCACTATTTTTCATTACATATTCTTATAGCTTATCTCGAGAGCTTTCCAAAACACTAATAAAATATATTTATTTATAATAAATATATTTTTTCATTAAGTATTTTTCGATTAGTCAAGATCAAGGCCATTAGTGATTGTACCTGTTATTTTCATTTTTACGTAAAAATAAATTTTTAGTGCAAAAATAAAAATAAGAGGTACAGCCTGCAATAGCCTTGATCTTGACAAATGTTATCCAGGACATGATCCTGAACAACATTCAAGAGGTTTTAGCCGTCGGTCGGACAACTTGCGTAATGCTAATGCCGACTGTACTGTAACTTTCGAGTCTTATAATTCGAAAAATATTTAATGAAAAAAATATTTTATTATAGTGTTTTGGAAAGCTCTCGAGGTAAGCTACAAGAATATGTAATGAAAAATAGTAGGTTTAATTTAAGAAATTGAAGGTGACCTTCATGTGACCTTTAAGCGATTATCCAAGGACAAATCAACGGTACTATTTTATGGCCCCCTTGAAACCATACAACTTTTGTCTGAAACATTTTCTTGTAAAATGCAAGGGAACGGAAATATTTGGGGTGATAGATTAAAATGGGTCACCTTGTATAATCTTTTATTGAAGAATTATTATTTTATTGCAATTAATAGAATAAATTAAGATAATTCTTAATACATCTGAGCTTTCATTGATTTTTTTTAATCTTGTTCAATTTTTGGAAATCTTACAATTATCGTTTCCATTTTCGTAGTCCGTAATTTTGAGCAAAAAAGAGAACTTGTAAATTGGACATTATCGATTAGGTAATTGATAGTCTCGCAAAATGTCGATTAAATTATGTTCACTTTCTTTTGACCACGAGCGGACATTTATTACGTGAATTACGTTGATTAATTTTTTTACAGACGCATGTCTAATCCAATCGCAAATAGGACAAATAATTTTGTGTATTCTCCATAAAGAGTGTGTCGAAACTAGCGCGACGATTACATGCTGAAATAATATGCATGGCAAATTGGCGCGACCTTTCTGGCCGCATTGCATAGTGCGTTTCACCTCGAACCCAATACGTTTTATGCGATATTTAAATAACTTGTTTTGACTGCGAGTAACATGGTTCCGTGACCTGTTAATAATAAATATCATTAATTTTGTTAGAGCAGAGATTAATAGGCAACTTCTAAGAAAAAAGCAATATGTGTTGATAAATAGAAAAAATATATCAATTCTTCTATAAGAAGGAATGTAATATTTCACGTACGGAAATTAGCAAAACTTTACATGAAAACCGTCCAAAGTTTTAAAGAACTAATATAAATAATTATAATGAACAGAATATCTACTGTATATAAACAAAATTTTTAACATATTCTGATATACTTTTATTTTTAATAAAATTTCTAAGAGTTTTATTTTTTATTTTTACATTAAAATTTTTTTATTACAAGTAACTTTACCAATTTTATTAAAAAATATATACAAATATAGTTAATATTCAATCATTTTTTGTTTATATTTATTTTATGTTGAAAAAAGTCGGTAAATTAAATTCAAATATCGCTGCGTTGATAGAAAAGTGACATAATTCAAAATTAGCAACTTTCAGTAAAGCATTTTTAATTTTTTGTAAAATAGAGCAACGTTTTAATTAGGATAATAAATATGCAAAACTTCATTTTCTTTCCATGTTGTACTTTTAATATATTTTTTAATTATTTTTAATGTATTCTAATAGTAATTCCAATGTATTTTTTAAAACTACTGTTAGTAGTTTTCAAAATTTGAACACTGCAATCCTAGTACAGGGTTATGTCAATTTTATCCCTTATCAGTATATAAACAATATATTGTTAATGTATTGTTTTTTCAAAATATGTTAAATCTTAGGGGAAGAAGGGTTGATTTCCTTTCATTATTTAAAAAATACTGGTTTTTTTTACTTGTGTTACTTTTCTATCAACGCAGCAGATATATCTGTGATATATCTGGTATCAAAATAAAAATTCATTTCTGGCATTTCCAGATATCAGTAGATATCCTGACTAGCAAGAACGCGCGTTCGCAACGCGGTTTGCAACCGCGCGTTTAATTACTCAGGGGAGCAACTCTATCTAATCCTGTGCTCTATTGCAGACCTAGGGAGTCCGTTCTTCCCCGGTGCTCCTGAATTGTGGCATCATCCATTGGCGTACTCTACAGCCGGCGAATTACCGGGCACGCTGCAACATGCGACGCTGGTGCATCCGGCGTTACATCCTCAGGTCCCCGTACGTTCCTATCTTTGACTATCTGCAGACAAAGCTCTGGAGCCGCCGACGAGCGCCCCGATGCACGTTAGTGATACATGATCGTTATACTCGATTACTCTTACATGGTAACAGGGAGATTCATGAGGGCTCAAGGACCGAGGATGCTTTCAATCATGGTTGCCTTGAGTCCTCGACTCCTAAATTCTATAGAATCTTGAATATTGAATTCTTTATAACGTTTTAGACTTTCGGTTGTCTTTTAGATGCTCTAAAGCTCCCAATTCTGCATTTTTGAATCTCGCGTAAATTTTTAAATTTATGAATTTTTAAATCCCTATTTCTGGAAAAAAGTATCTATTTTTTTTATGCGAATTATATATACACAAAGTGCTTCAATATTATCGCATCATGAACAATTAGTGAATAATAGGCTCGTAAATTTAGAATGTTCCATTTTTAATTTTTGTAATCAGTTTTTTAAATTATAAAATTATCAAAATAAAAACAAATAATGGTTATAAAGTTTTATTTTTTAAGTGTTATTTATTCCCGGGAAAAAATTTTATGCAATTATATATGACATTATATGACTATATATGATTATATATGTCTATATATGAATATATTTTGCTTTATATTATATAGAAAATTGTTGCTAAAAAATTAATAAATTTTATTGGTTAATATCACTTTCCACAGAAAAAGAGAGATTACATAGGATAAAATTATAATAAAAAAAATATATTTGGAAGCTATATACGTATACAATTTCAAGATGTTTCTAATCAGTTACCCATCCTAAGCTGTACTCTGACTAACGTTGCTTAACTTTTGTAATCTTACGGGAACTGATGTTTCGATAATTCATGAACACTAAATGATAGACATATATGTGTGATAAATCAGTTTAAAATCCGGAAAACAATTTTTATACATGATAATATATAAAATTTTTTGCCTGGGTTATTAATAATCTATAATTTAAAATCTTTGTTGAGAAAATATTTGTTGAGAAAAGGTTATATAATTGTTATCGGAGTTATATAATTGAATCAGAAAATTTGTTAAAATTTGATACGGTAATGATAACTTAATATAAACATTATATAAAACCGGAATTAATAGGATAACCACAATGAATAATATTATGCGGATTATATAAATAGCAATTTTTCCGCATACGCGTGTAACGTCAGTCAGTGTATTCGAATATTACTTTTTATATCGTCACAAAATCGATAGCGCAACTTGTCGTCGCACTGCGTGTCCTCATGTATTATATAGAAGCGTGTAGTCGTGTGGGTGTATGTCACGCAAGCTTCGAATCGTGGAGTTTCGAAGCTATTGCGATGTCTCCGTAGTTTGTCGCGACATGGATTAATTATGGCCGACGTTAATAAATCCGTAGTTTACTTTTTTCCCAGTCTAATAGCATCGTACGTATTTTCCGTCGTTTTAATTTTACGGGAAGAGTATTTAAAAGATAAACTTATGGATGTTACGTTACGTTGATGATATTTACAGTTCGGGGTTATTTCATAGTTATTAATGAAGATAAATGAAGAATATAAGGTGAAACCACCATAAATAACACCGATAAGCCACATGTTAGGTAATTAGCAGCATCTAATGTAAGGGTATATGAAAAGTTAAATGAAGAGATATGAGAAGAGAGGTATATAAATAAGGGTACATACATTTTCCATATCAGTCTTCTATTCTTGGAATTTTATCTTTCACTTAAATTTTATATTAAAATCTAGTATAAAATTGAAAAGAGGGATCTTTTTTCTATTTTATATGATTTTTGATATTATCAAAAGTTCAAATCTATTAATACTAAATATGTATAAATACTAAAAGAAGAGACTAATGTCCAAGAGAAGTTTGAAGTTTGAAGAATCGGAAAATTGTTCAGCGTAAGTACATCTTCAATCCCCTTTAAGATATTGTTGATATCAGTCCGATGGTACCAATCCACTAAATCACATAACTTTATTGATTTTTAATGCATGAATCTGTGTTAGGTTTACACAGGTATCCGTCACGCATTAACGCTCGTAAAACACACAACTACCGATTTCTACGAGGGCAAATAATGCGACCATATAACCATGAATTTGTACAAACGCGATATAATCTGTTATTTTATCGATCGCATTGCGTATGATTATGTGATGCTTTTTATACTGTAATAGCGACTGAAATTATTCTGTAACACGCCACAGCGAATCACAGATTAATCGAGAATGCGGGGAAAAAGAATCATGATGCAATGTTTTTGTAAATATATCTCGATATTTGATTGAAAATTGTAAATTTATGTTGAAAATTTTAAAATTTTTGAAGAGATAGACATGCTCGATTTTGAATGCTACGATTGATTCAAGAACTTCTGGATTTTATATAGGTAAATCACATTAGAAAAAATTATACTTATGTTTTTTTTAATCGGATATCAATCTTTTATATTTTACATATAGGTAAATATTTTTATATAATCGAATTCGTCGAAAGATACATTTTGTTATTGGATTATACTCTTAAATTATCGTTTCAATAAAGTTCTTAAATCTATAAATCATTTTTGCTTTTTAAAGTTTCTAATATTACGATATTTAAGATTCTATAAGTTTGTCATTCTTTCTTGTTGCTTAATGCCGTTACAAAAAAAATACTTGTTTGTAAAACATAAATTAAATTTTTAAAAATAATTTTACACGAGGAAAGTCAGAAATAGTTATATGTGAAATTTTTATTTTACAACAGACTATCGATTCAGTAAAAATTTAAAACGGTTATATTGAGAAAGCTTTTAGAAGTGATTGAAAGTTTATAAGCTAATTTTTTTTAAAGCTTACACAAAATTTCAAACATAAAATATCGTTATTACTAAAATCCAATATTCCTTGAATTTATCCGCACGAGAGAGAAAATCCGTTGCATTGAACGTTTGATAAATCGAAGGCTCTTGAGTCCGGACTGCTTGTTATTATTATTTCCTTTTTCTCCGTACGCATCTTGCTTTTCCTTTAACGGAAGTAAAAAGGAAGCGAATCTCGAGATATCCACTCAAGGAATAACGAACAGAGAACCTGGTAGCAATAACGTCGGAACTTATTAAGTTGAATATCTTCTACGATCCAACTCGATTAAATGCATTCTCGAGCGACTTAACGATACTGAGAATGTCATTGGCGAGATTTATCATTGCTTTGATAAGTTAATAACGATACTCAATGCAAATGATTTAAAATCATTCCTTTCCTATGTTGATGATATCTTTTAGAGTCATATTTTTATGTACAGATAGTTAAAAAATCTGCTGCGTTTCCTTACGTTATATAATTTATTTCAATATGTGTGTGTGTGTGTGTGAGAGAGAGAGAGAGATTAGCTAGTTATATCAATTATTATTTCTAATTTCTCAATAAAAAATAGGTAGGTGACTGTTGAAATAACTTTGCAATTAAGCACGAAGATATTTAAAAAAAAGAAAAAAGTTTTAATTTTAGTCGTTTTTATCTGTTATTAAAAGTAATAGTCGACTATTTTTCATAGCGCTTTGCAACATACAATTTAAGGTTATTATTACAAAAAAGAGTTATTGCATAATGTCACCATTGACGCAAATATAATATTCCAGCAAAAAAGACATCTAAATGATATACAGAATGTTTTAATACCGCTAGTACAAATGAAGAAAGTGGTTTTACTTAAAAATATATGTCGAAAGTGTATAAAATAAAATTTTTTTATACGAGGCTTCATTTTCCAGAAAAACTTTCAATATTCGTCAGGTATTAACATGCATTTATAGTTATAAATATTATAAACGTTACGCATGCATTTGTATTGCAACGTTAATACGCATTTGTATGAATTATAAACATTACAAATAATAAAAAGCTACTTCAGGGATATATGATAAGATGTGTTTACTTTTCAAAAATTTTATTTTATTGTCTTGAAAAGTGTTGAAAGTTCTGGAATACCTTATATATTTAAATTCTAACAGAACACACTCAATTTAAATTTGTCTTAAATTCTAGTTCTTTTGATGCTTGTTTGTTTTAATATTTTCGCAAATGGTATATATCGATGTTTTCTTTGCCAGAATATTGTTCGAATTTATACATTAGTCTACTAAAATTAAAGTTTAAAAATCGGGACGACCTTTAGACTTTAGTTTTTGTCAGAAAAGATACAATTTTTTATTGAAGGGACAAATGTAGGGCTGAGAAAGACAGGGCGGATTGACGCAAATGCCGTCGATCTGTGCGAGCAAACCGACTACTCATGGTCAAGCGAAGCGAGTGTATGACAGAAGTATTTATATTTTTCAGGCGCCTATGTCCCTGCCGCATCCTACGACGTTGACGTCGATACACGCGTCGCTGCCTCATTTTCTACCGTCGCCGGCACTGGCGTCACCGGTCGGATCACCCTCGTCACAGCCGAACATAGCCGTCAGCAATGCGCAATGCTCCACCCTCTTCGTGGCGAACCTGGGCCAGTTCGTATCCGAGCATGAGCTAAAGGACATCTTCAGCAGGTCAGACACCTTATCTGTTCACCTTATTCTTTTAATTCATAGCTGGATGTGAGCCAATCGAATATGCTCACTAGTCGGTTGGCTCGCTTATCGATTTATTATATTTATATATTTTATGACCTACACATGTGTGTGATTATCAAGATCCTAAGGACACAGTTTTCAGAATGCATCAAGGTGCATTATCGCTGTATAGTAAAGGTGTAGGCGTCGTTAGATAAATTTGCAGAAATAGTATGTATATCAGCTAAATTAAAGTTTTTTTAACTTTAAAATAATATTTTTTCGTTTGTCTGAATTTTTTAACTTTAGAATAATATTTTTCCGTTTGTCTGAATTTTGGTGAAAAGTCTTAATAAAACAGATAGTTATGAAATTTAATGTTCTTATTATTATCTACGTAGCTATATATTAAAATTTTTAGGGAGATCTCAATTTGATGAAATATTGGTGCTTAAAACATTTAAAGACTACGTTTATCATAATAGGTATACAGATAATTAATTTTATTTTAACGCAAAGTGTCAGAAAATACGAATATTAATCATAACAATAACAATGATAATAAATTACTTAAAAGAACCAAGTCACGTTTATATGACACACATGCTGGAGGTAAATGCGCGCCAATTGTGATACGGGTACCGATACACGTGGGTCTTATCAGCTTACCACGTGGTGGTGATATCACGATGTCGTGGTGTGCTCGAAACGTTTGCAATTCTTGACGAACAAACAGCAAGAATACGACGGCTTCAAAACATTTTTGATATTTACGAATAAATCTTGGAACCATTGAATTTTTTAGGCCTCGATTTTTGGATAAAATTTTCTGGACAATTTTTTGGATAAAAAATTTTCAGATTCTAAAATATTTTATTTTACCTTTAGATTACTTTATCTAGTGGAGATCTTTAATGAAAATATTAAAATATCTCTTGATTCTCATAAATATTTTAGTTATGTAAATTCTAAAATTATTGAATCTGTATTGAGTGTCTAATAATTGAATTTGTCAGTATATATGTCTAAATAAAAAATTCTATAATTATCACAGCAATTTTTGAATTAAAACTAAACTCACATGAATAAATTCCAGATAGATTAAAGACCGGAAGTTTTGCGTTTATTATAGAATCAACTTGTTATGCTCTTAGTGATTTACGTCGTTACAGTTATATAACTTTAGCAAGGATATATGCGTTCAAGGATTTTTCGCATTAGACAAAAAACGTTGTTAAAAAGTATACATCTCAAGCATTATACTATGAATAGCGCGTAATATATGCAATTCTTACCATTCCTGACGCTTGCAAAATTTGCGGAATAGCATATTTACTATTAATTAATTATATTATCGTACTTTACGTGGTTTCGATTGGCATATATTATGGGCAGAACTTTTAGACCATTAAAAAAATATAAAATGTAAAATTGTAATTAAACATGATAATCCGCTAATTACGGACGGAGATATTCGCAATTAAACTGCTCGCTTAAGTGTCAGCTATCCAACAAGCGGCGAAGTTAAAATATGTTATCCGGCCGAGCATTACAGTTGCGCTCGTGTAATAAATTATTTTCACGTGCCCTACCATGCGGAACCTTCCCACGATCCTGAGTACGCCTCCAGTACGTCGTGAATCATTGAATCGAGAATTACGAACTCTTTCGATATGTCTACATTAAATCGGTTAGACCGCAGCTAATATCCGCTGGTGTAGATATACCATATTTTTACATAGGAATGGGAAAAACTGAAGATCCGGCAGAGTCGTTCATTTACCTTTGATTAATGCTGCGAACCTCGATCATGTGTTTGTAGTCGCGGGATTGCAATAATTATTATCTATATATACGAAGAGAAAGTTACATGAATTGATTTTTGTATGCTGCACCGCAAAATAATAAGAAACTGCTATAATACTTGTGGGTACTCTTTATTTAATGGAATATAGGCAGTAGTTGCTTTGGTATTTTTGATATCGATTACTATGGTTATTAGAAAAATAACAGATAGAAAAAGAAAAAAAAGAGTTTAATAGTTAAATTAGAAAAATTATGAATTAACAGAATGATATGACGTACCTCATATTTTTATGCAATTCACTGGAAAATTAAAAACGTAAAAATTAGGATTTAAATATTAATATAGAGTAAAAAATATTTACATATTTATTATAGTATAAAAAATGTATAATTATAAAAAAAGGAAAGAATACAATGTTTAATTATTTATAAAGTCAAGTATATATAATTTACCTTAAGCACAAATAATTATTGAATCGAAAGAAAAATAGAATTTAGTAATAAAATAATTTTTTTGATAATCATTGGAGATGAAAAGAGTTTAAATAGAAACTAAAATATATTTTATTCAGTTTAAAGTAATTTAATAGCAAGATAGTAAAAGTTTTTATATCTTCGTGCAAATTTTGTTATAACGCTTCAAAAACTCTATTCTTCGAACAAAGAATAATTTTGGACAGGATTTATTTCGTTTTCACTTTTATATTTTTAGTAGGAATCTTGTGAAACACGGTAGTGAAAAGGTGAAAAATTATACATTGACAGAAGTGTTTTTTGAACACATTAACTATTTTATCAAATATATCAATTGCATTTTGTTTCTTGTAAAGAAAAGCAGAGTGTATAAAATAAATTTACCAAATTGTTATTATCATTTATGAGACACTATCACAATTTATAATATCTAAATAATTTTTCCTGTATACGTTTGAATTTGTATTTTTTGTCCAAACACTATTTATTCTTGTTACACCAAACGTTAGTTATAAAGTAATTGGTTCATCGATACTCGAAATGCACAATTCTCTAACAAAATATTAAGAATTGCTAAACAGTGTCCTCGACACACAGGGTACGAATAATGATCTAGAAGACGCGATCTACTCTTTCGAGTTTCGCAGCTGACGGAAGTCTGCGCGCGACTGTCTTGCAAGTTCCAACGCCAATAGAGAAGCTCTTCCTCCCCTCGTATAATTAGCCTGTGAAATCTCATTATCCCGCAAACCCCAGAGTTCTGCAGTATGAATTCGTAAGTGAGTGCCTGAGTTAATTACACGCGTTTGCACGTGCGAGAGGCGCCCTGCGCATTCTACAATTTTCGGTAGCTCGCGGGAGTATTCGACGGAATTTCGTCGTCGACGATGTGAATACATTGTCCTCGTCGTATGTAATTCAACCGTTGTTCTTGCACGGGTAATTATTTCACGTTGATACGTTTGAGAAAAAGTACATTTGTCAAGACAAAAAAATTTTATAATCGTGCGAAAATATTTTTTTATCATAGAACGCTTATCATATCAGATTATTTAAAAATGACAGTTTAGAAATTAATATTTAGGAATTAATCTCTTACACTAAGAAGAAATATAAATTAAAGATAGATTTGTAAATAATGTTTTAAAAATGTGAGCACAATTTTACATCTACATTCTTTAGTGTTTTTTAATTGAAAAGAGAACATTTATAAACAATACGGATTATTAAAAATATTTTCTTGCAATTTCGAAAATTAACAAATTAGAAACTGGAAATCTTATTTGGTATATGAAAAATTTTTATTCATCTAAGGTTTAATTTTTCTCTTTATATCTCTTTTTATATTAAAAAATTTTTTCTATTTAAGATTTAATTGTTCTCTTTCTTTCTATAAAATATTAAATCTCTCTTTAGTATGTCGCAGAAACCTCAATATTAATTAATCGATATATAATTATTGTGATATTTAATTACTAATGCATTGTAGATATGAAATAGGAGATTTTTAATACAATTTTTTAAAACTATATGTTTCTAGATCTATGAATTTCTGAGCTTATATGTTATTATAGATTTGTGTACGTCAATCTGTGAACCTTTAACTTCTGATTTATGTTTATTCTCGTTGTGGATTTGTAAATAAACAAACAGACAAATCAAATTAATAACCATAGTAATCAAAGGATAATGAGCAAACGACAAAGCATCAAGTACCTGCACCTAAATTTAATCGTCATGCCGAGGGCGCAATAATGGTCGAAATTGTGCAAGTCCGTCGTGAACGCCGAAAGCTTTATACTAACAGCACTGCCTCCAAACATCACTGACATCCGCTAATCATTTGCCACCGTCGTAGATTGTAGGCATATAGGACGCACCTGTACTAGTACCCGTACCAATACCATGCGACCAGTGCCGTTTACTAATTGTCGGTGTGCTGAATGGGTTTGCACGGAGGGTAATGTCTCTACATCGCGAATTATCGATTAATTGCGGATTTGTAAATGCACTGTGAACCTAATGAGAAGGGATTAGGAAGGAACTCAGTGTAATATAGAAAGGAAAAAATGAACTATAAATAATTTCTTTTATAAAATAAACAGTATAACAATAGAAATAATGATGCGAATTATATATAGAGAAGAAAATGGTATTATGGCACCAGTTACATTTTACACAATAACTTTGTTAATAACCAATATTTAAAATTTGACAATTACATTCATTAAAATGTTGTTGAATCGATTCTGGACTCAAAGTTACGAAATATTTATTACTTAGGATACTATTAATAAAAATGTGGCGACATTGTATAATGACTCTAAGAAAAAAATAGGTAGTGATCGCCTTCAGCATTCCCAAAATAGCCTTAAAATATTAATTTTGTTTAGAAAACAGTATTTGGTTACAAAATTAACAAAAAAGCAAAATATTTTAAAATGTATGCAAATGAATGTATATACACTCATATAACTTCTGCATATAAGCTGCTCAGTACTAAAAATCTCAGTACTAAAAATAGTACACGTAATACAAACTATAGATTAACAGTAGAGCTATCAAATAATTATTTTGATATGAAAATCTCAAAAAAGAGGTCGTGAGTAGTCAATATTCATAGAAGGTCACATTAGCAAAATGCCATGGTATGGTTTAAATTTCCATAACTCAAAATATATACCTTATAAATATATGTTATAAATATAACATGGTATAGTCAAATAAAATGTTAAATACCAAATAACACATTCAAAAATACATATATTTGTGTGATAATATGCTCAAGTTTAATAAAAATGAGGGAAACTAGGTGTAATTAAATGCTAAAGTGTACCTCAGAAACGTTTCGAAATACTTGAAAGTAAAAATGCGTTATAATAAGTGCTGGTTATTAAGTATTGGTAATATTAGCATCATGGTAACGGCAAGCTATTGAACTAATAATTCCATAAGTAATCATTGGGATTCGCTATATAATAGCGGAGATATTAAGGGAGGCCACAATATATATATACTGGCCATAATACTACCTTCTCCTCTATATAATTATATATACATAATAGATATGCTTTTTAAAATAATTTTTCAAACATTCGATTACGTTTTAAAAAATAATTTCAATGATTTGTGCAATATTGTATATATTTAAAGATTTTGCAAAATAATAATTGTACAAATTATTTTATTATTTAATTTATTTCGATAATTTTCCTTCTTTACATACAATTATATTATACGTATGTATTGTATATATGTATGTAATTATCTCTGTACACCTTAAATTCCCCTAAAATAATTAGCACACGTATATGCTAAAGGAAATAATTCACAGCTGTTAACGATTTGAATTTGATCCTGAGTTTGTGTCGCATCCCCTCCGTGTAATCACCCCATGTCGGCACCGCCTGACACCACCGACACCATTAATGGCAACCAAGCAGTAACCAAACCCCCCTAAAACCTCTCTAAACTCCCCCTTTACCAGAGTACTGTCTTTACGACTAACTAGAGCACGTATTGTACGCTTCTCTTATTTGTGCACAGTTTTCCTGGTTTCTCCCGGCTTCGTATGCACACGAAGGGAGGGTCGCCAGTGGCCTTTATCGAATATCAAGACGTTCGCTACGCGGCCCAGGCGATGGCCACTCTCCAAGGATCCTTTCTCCTCTCCTCCGACCGGGGAGCGATACGAATCGAATATGCAAAGTCAAAAATGGCCGAGGTGGGCTTTACAAATCTCTGGATCGAAGTAGGTTCCACTTTATGCTACGATAGACCGCTGCAAAGGACGCGGGGGGCGGCTCTATGTGAACTAGGCGAAGGTTTTGTACTCGTGAGGTATTCGTGAGCTCGAAACCATTGGTGTTTGTTCTGACGTTATTCATAGGACGAAGAGATGTTGGTTCTGAGAAAGACCTTAGCACGCGTGAGGATTTTAGTGAGGGCGTTTCTTGCGCACTTTGCACATGCCGAGAGACTAGAGAGCCTCGATGAGAGTATTTGTTGCGGTCAAAAGTAGAGCTTGCGCACCTCCGAACACCCAGAGGCCTTGCTTATGCGCCAAAGTCCTTAGCACGAGTGTTTACGTTGGTCTAGCACGAGACTTTTGCACGTACACGAGGCTCTGGGTGATCCGCCCTACAGTAGAGCCGCCTCCGCGAAAATGCGATCGACGGCGAATACGTAGGGTTGTGCTTTTATCGATACTTTATATTTATTTTCTTGTTTTATTTTGGTGTAATAATTATTGTTATTATATATTATGAAATTCAAAATACTTCATTAAAGAAAAATACTTTATAACGCTTAATTATATGTATGGAAAATATGAATTTATTATCTTGGTATTCTACTTAATGAATATTATTGAGTGGTGAAGAGATAACATGAAAAATAAAGTTTTAATAATATATCTTCAAAAGGAAATTGCAATTTATGGTCTTCATAATATAATGAAATTGGAACTTTATAAAGAAAGCAATAGTTTAATTTGAAAACATATATGTATGATATTACGAATAAAATACGATTTAAAATATAAATACAAAATGTTAAATTTAAATAATAAATTTACTTTAAAAATAAAATTTATTTTAGAACAATATTTTATTGGAACTCTGAGCACAGCTGTGCGTTTTCGTCTAGGGGCCGAAATCGATATAATCTCGATGAATTTACGTATATTGATGCTATAGATATAAAAAAATGACTTTAATATTTAGAATTGTGGAAATAGCACATTATTTTTCTGCATCCATAGCATCGAAAACATCACTGAAATAATATTGATTTCGGATCTTTACTTTTGTCGCCGGTACCAAAATGCATTGGGCCCAGTGAATCTTGGATCCAATTATTCGGTCATTATTCGATCAAACTCACGCGGTTTCGCCCTCGAAAGCGTTTGTGCCTCGAGGCGCTAGACAGGCCGTCACTTCGAAGGCCAATTAAATCTGGTTGAAAGACCGACGACGGCTGTCCCGTCGAGGACTCGTATCCGAACAGTAGATGCGCTCTCGTGCGTTGGTGCCAATTATCAATTATCCGTCGTTAATCGCCTACCGATCACGTGAAATCCGGCGAATCTGCCCGTCTTTCTTTCCTTCTTTTTTTTCTATCTCACTTTATCTCTCTATCGCTCGATTGAGATACACGTTCCCGTTTCTGCGATCCGAACGCGTACAATTTTTTATCTATTTTGAATTATTTTTTTATGATTTTCTCTTTTGAATTTTTGCACGATTCCAAACAGAGACTAAATTATAATTTCGAAGAGTTCAGAATTCAATGTTGGAGACAAGCAAAAATGATCTCGATATCCATTCCTGACTGATGAGAATGCGATACTTGATAGCAAGGTAAATTTTATCGTAGCATTGAAAATTGAACTCATCTAAATTATATGGTTTCATACCTAGACTTCAAGTTTTCTCTTTTTCTTGTTGTATTCCTTTCGTATTATATTTCCTCTATTGATGCCTGTTTGATGTCGATTTGCTCGTTCTTACGATGTAATTTCCTTCATACAAAATCCTTTCCTTTCATGTATGTTTTTTTTTATTTCCGCTGTATCAAATCTGTCTTTGTTTTACTGTACCATCTAGATATGACGAGCACTATGCACCATCCTCTAGCAACTTTATACTAATCGGCAGTAGTAACGCTTGGGAAAACATTGGCTGTATAAAATATAAGGATTAATTTTATTGACTAAAATTATTTTTTATTAACAATTAGAGTTCGTAACAATAAAATATTTTTAACTACATTTTTTGATACAATAAATGTTGTATATATTTTTAGATTTCACTGAAATGTGATTGTTTTCTATTGTTATTATCACGCGGAACGTATATCTTTTAAAAATCTTTGTACAAAAGACAAAGTGAGTTTGATGTGTCAAACGTTCATTTTATTTTTTAGTTTAACGTTTAACTTTAATCCGTTTAAACAAAATGAATTGGAAAGATTGTACGATAAAAAGCTATGTAAGATAAAAAAAGAGGAAAGTCAGACAAAACGATGATTCTGAGGTTCCGCTTTTAATCAAGACCGTATTTCCGCCGATGAAAGAAGATTCGTCGGACATTTAAGGATCGATCCCACTTACGTAATTTAAGGGCTGAACTAAGTTCAGCTCAGGTTATCCAACCACTAAAAGGATTGAACTAATTAATTAATTAAGTAATTAAGCTGCGTTAAATGAAGTTGGCGGAGTTGTTCATTTGTTCAAAATGATAGTAATATTTCGGCAAAGCTCACAACAACTGTGACATTATTTACGCATGACATTCGATATGTAATGACACGTCAAGAAAAAAAATTGCATCATTTTTCATTTAAAAAGGAGCTAATAATCATGCATGTCAAAGTTAGAAGAATAAGAATTTAAGCAAGGTTCTGTTAAATCGCAAAATATACGTAATGTACGAAGAATTATTTGAAAATCAATAACTTGAATGAAATAGTTATTTATTTTTTCATTATTGGCTATTTCCTTTCCATATAGCCTTGTCTTTATTGGTTCTTGTAAAAAAAATTAATTAATCAAAGATATCTATATTATACGAAACGTTGGAAAATTGGTTTTTAAAGATTTAAAAAGATCTCGAAGGAATATAAATATAAGATGTGTATTTTTGAAATTTACATCAGATTGAGAGATAGAAATGAAGGACTCGAGAATCCATTCGACACGTTTGAAAATGTATTCCCGTCAGGGCAAAAGTGTGTCACCAAAAATTGATCGGACGCTATAAAAGAGCGTTTCAGATCACTCGACCTTACCCTTTCAAATCGGTGGATCGATACCATTCGCTTCCAATTGCAATTGTGTCGCAACTTGTTTATTCATACATGACGCCGAAAGTTGCGATTGGTCACGCTATAAACGAAGCTGTGGCTACGGATCGACCTCCCCATTTTCGAATTAAACGATCGATACGGTCCGCTTGGGGCTGGGCACGGCCAAACACATCATCGTTAATTCACGTCGTTTTATAGAGACGTCTGGCACCGCAACGTTCACCTGGTGGGATACTCGATGAATTAAAACTCTTGCCCTTTTTCGAGCGCGAACACATTCAATCCTATGAATATTTTCTCTTCCTCTGTCCTGTAAGCGTATATATCAGAAAACCTTTCGTAGTTACGCTTTTAACAGATGAAGGAGGTCCTTTTTATAGGATTGTTCAGGAACGACAAAGACAGAGAGAGAGAGAGGGGGGGAGAGGGAGGGGGAGGGGGGAGAGAGAGAAAGAGAGAGAGACCCAAGAGACTTGAGTTGTTGAATAGTCGAGTTTTTAATTTTCTACCTCTGGGAGAAGAATTCCTAAGCTTTTATGTTTTCGAAATTTATTTGCGTCGATTTGTTTAACAGAATTTCCAAGACTTTTTCATTTCTTGAATCTTTAAATCGTTTAATTTCTTTTTATGTAAACACTGAAAACTTTAAATTTCTTAAACTTCTTACGTCGTGTTTTTCTTTCTTTACACACAAACATATATAGGATAAAATGGTACAATTTCGAACATAGTACAATTCTGAACGAAAGAAAATAATCCAATTTTCGAGGTTCAAGTTTGATCTCATTGTGTGAAGGATATTGAAAGGTATCAAATAGGAAGAAAAAAACTTGAACTTTGAAATTGGATTCAAATTTTATTTTGTTCAGAATTTTATCATTTTCCAAATTATATCATCTTATTCTATATGTAATGTATTGTAAATTTATATTGTGAAATAAAATTTTTACATATAATAGAATATATTATTTTTATTTAACATACACTGAGAAAAAATATCTTAATTTCAAAGAAATATTTCTTTGTTCGTATTCATACAAATTATTACTTTGGATCAATGAAAATTTCTTTAAAATTAAAATATGATTTTTAAATTAAAAAAAAATATCTTAATTTCAAAGAAATTTTCATTGATCCAAAGTAATAATTTGTTTGAATACGAGCAAAGAAATATTTCTTTGAAATTAAGATATCTTTCTCAGTGTACTGAATACTTTTGCTATTATAATTCTTTTTATGTTTAAAAATCTTTACAATACTAATACGCCGTGAAGAAATATTGTCATAAGATTTACGTTATTTTATTTCCATATTTACATCGCCCCGCCTTGAATCTATTCTTGCTATGTAAATACGTTTTATTCATAAAATCTTTGTTTGTCCTGCGAGATTTCTTTTAGACACAACAAAACTCAATCTATCTATATTCCTATATCTTGTACTTCCCTTATTATACCCTCCTTTTCTTGGCCGTGTGTATGCCTCTTCGTTGACCGAGAGCTTTGAACAAATCGTGAAAGAGCGCTTTTCAGCACAGTCACGTCCTAATGAGGTACGCAAATTACTCAATGGCAATGTCGTCTCTTCAGCTTCGCGTGGACACTCTTCATGTGGTAACAAGACAAATGTAGGTTGTCCTTTCATCCTCGTTTGGACTCTCGACCGAGTCTTTTTCAAACTGTCACAACGTGACTTATTGAGAACCGGTTAAAAAATTCGTTAGAAATTATCGTCTTTTGGTTTTGAATACTCACGTCTTTTGACAATTACGAAAATTCATAACTCGATTTTAGATATACTCCATAGGTACATTCAAAATTTGTGTGAATTTTTTACGATATCTTTGAACATATTTGAGTAGTATTAATAATTACAGCTTAAAGATGATGTAATTTTCTTTCTTGTGTATATATTAAGAATGTCTGTTATATATGTATAGTGATATAATAGAGAAAATTGAAGAATTATTGTATTCCAGAAAAAATTAATTCTATCTGGTCTCACATATTGATGACATGCGATTTAATTATAAAAACGTCGTCCAATTAGGATTTCTTGAGTTTTGAACGTATCATGTTCTAATCGCTTGCATTGATTTTTCAGGGATCAAAGAGACAAGAAAACGGCCAACCTTAAGATTGACATCAATGGCATGTAAAAAGGCAGAGTATCGGGCAGCCTGGAAGAGACGATAGAACGCGCGACAGGATATCCACCGGAAAACAAGACACGAGGAAGAACCATACAAGAAGTCGCACTGTCGAGCAGTTAAAGATTCGTCGGCGAGAGATCGTGGGAAGCGAAACGTAGGATGCAGGAGCAGTAACACACATACATACATATATGAGAAAGAAGGGAAGAGAAGAGATGCAAAAATTGCGAGCGTGGGTGGAAGGGCAAGATTTCGCTCTTTCGCCCGAAAGGGACACAGCGAACACATCGGTAGGCAAATTCTTGTAAATTCTTCGACGTTGCAGAACGGAGGCGTGTTGGTTCGCGCGACTCTAGCGGGGGGCCCAATATAATCACATAATAATTCCTAGGTATATATATTTTTTAATGAACTTAACTTATCGATTCGCGTACCTACCTTTACCTACTATTTATTTTCACCGTGTCTTTGATCGCGATCGACGATGACGAAGCGATAGACAGGGGCGGGGGTGATAGAGATGTGGCAGGTGAAGCATCGAGGAAAAGGCAACAGAAGAATGAAGCAAGCGAGAGGAAACGGATTTTATTTCTTGTATATGTATTACATATGTAAAGAAGAATGGCACTCTTCGCAATTACACGCGCACGTCATATCGTGATATTTGGTTACACGTACATGTATATGTACACATGCATACACAAAACACACACCCATATAAACAGACACATTTATACGCGACAGTCGCGAAGATTTTTTTCAAACATACCATGCCACCCTGGGATACATCCGCACATACCATAAAATTTGCATTCAACGATAAATCTATTGGATGTTTCGGAAACAAATTTCTGACAAATTTGTTAAATAAGTCACATCGAGCTCGAATTTTCCAAATTGTTCATATTGCTGAAAAAGTAATAGTAATAAATATCGAGCCTCGCAAAAATTAAGCTCATTAACGCGTGATTAAAACACATTGATGCACAATGCGAATCCTGGTGGTGGCTCTAACGCGAAATTGCGTATTCTACATACTAAAACGAAACAAGCGAGGCGAAGATGAGTACATCAAGCTTAATACCAAAGGTGCCCTAAGAAGTGTGTATTTATGTTTTATCATCGGCGCGTCACGCGCGAAACGAGCGCGCGTACATTTAACTATTGTATCTTGTTAAGAAGAGTCTAGTGTGTCCTAGGTGAAGATGAGTGTGTGTACGTGTGTGTACGTGTGTGTACGTGTGCGTACGTGTGTGTGTGTGTGTGTGTGTGTGTGCGCGCGCGTGTGTGCGTGTGTGTGTGCGCGTGCGTGCGTGCGTGCGTGCGTGCGTGCGTGTGTGTGTGTGTAAGAGAGAGAGAGGGGGGGGAGAGAGAGAGAGAGAGAGAGAGAGGGGGAGAGAGAGAGAGAGAGAGAGAGAGGGAGAGAGAGAGAGAGAGAGAGAGAGAGAGTCTGAGCACGAGTGCAAGTAAGAATGGGATTGCGGATGCGTACAGAACATGTACGGCGACAGGAAGAAAGAAAGAGTGACTAAATTGAGAGAATGATAGGTGAGAGAGAATGACCGTAAGTAATAATCTTATACATATATATACATAACGAACGCGAACATATCATAGGATTAAGCCTGTAGATGAAAATTCAAGTGCGGCAAGAGGAGAATTTAAATCGTCCGCTTCTCCATAAAGTAAAAAGATCGCGCGAGAGCGGATGGAAGAAAAGAGAGTAGTAGTGAAGGTGATGTGCCCCGCGTGTTAGAAACGGCGGCCAACTCGGCACGTAATTTGCCCAAGTGCCTTTCTGTTGGTCGAGTCACAAGCTGTAATCGGTAGCGTGTTACACACATAGATCTTGTCCCGATTTTTCGAACTCCCAAAGAGAGAACTCCCGGCGCTTCTCTAAACGTGCATCCGTACCCGAAATACGTCCCATTCGCCTCTATTTCGCCCTATCGTATTTCCCTTTTCCTCCCGCGTTCTCCTCTTACTTTCTCGGTGGCGGAAAGCTGCAATGAGGACGCATTAAAGATCTCATAATGATTCAAGGGTCAAAAAAGCGAGTTTTCAGTGAATATTCGAGCAAAATTCATTTTCCAAGATGGTTCAATAAATTCATTAATAGCTATTTTGGTAATTTCTTTTTGATATGATTTCTCTTTGATTCTATGCCGAGTGCTTTCATAAATATTGTCTCATGCAAATGTACGTATTGAATAAAAGTATGATATTTGCATTCTATATTTGATGTAGGATTTTAATAAGTTTACATTTTTAATAGAATTATATAACGAATATTTTCATTAATTATAAAATGAGATTATAAATCAATGTTAACAAATAGCCGTAACAAAGATTATTCAAGTAGCTTTCCGTAATTTTACGCAGCTTCCGCCGAGTCTTAGAATTTTATGACCAACCTTTATATCTCCCGTTATATCACTGGGCATTTATTACATGTATCCGCAATTAACGAAAGTGAAAATTACTTAAGAAATAAAAAAAAGCCGCCGGTTAAACAGTGGATTATATCGGTAAAGGCGATCATCCACCGGCGTGCTCGGGCGAATCGATTGATCATCCATCACTGATCTCCCCATCATCGTCGTTATAGCTCGTCAAGTCATGATCGCGACAGTATGTTCTTTATTTTTCTACGGAAAGCGACTGGAGAGCACTACATTAGAATCACTCCGCGATATTGGGGCTTGACGAATACACGATACATTTAAATATACGCGTGCGAAAAAGAAGAAGAGATAATGGAAAGTAAAAGGATACTATTATCAGGCAAAATATTCGAATTTCCACTTTAACTCTTTGCGCTCTTACGTTCGAGTCCTACTTTACATATCAATGTAGATTATCGGATGGAAAGGGATAAAAATTGATATTTTCTAATGCTATAAATTTTGGATTTAACGCTACAACTAACTAACAAACCACTGCGATAAAAGATGTAATTTATGAAACTTTAGGAAGTATAATCTAAGTTATAATCGAATCGAGGCCTTACAATTCAAGGAGCAGTAAAATGAACTGAGATTTAGATTCTCATACACAAGAGTATCCATTTCAGATATTTAAAAATAAATGATTGCGTTAATGTGTAATTGAATGATGAAAAAAAAACTTGATTAGAGTATCTTTGCGAATAGAATAGCTTTTATGCGCTTGAAACCAGATTTATACATGGTTAGCCTTCTTCTAAAAAGAAGTATAATGTTCTCAATGCGTATCTTTTGCAATTAAGAAAAATAGAATAAATAACATTTGAGTGCAAAGAGTTAATGGAATACGTCAGTGTCCAAAGATAAAAATCTATGAGAATTTCGAATCATGAATAAGATAAATATCTAGCAAAAAAGAAAAGATGAGAGAAATATAGCGAGGATAGGATAATGAGAAATATAAGCAGATTTTGGATAACGCGACCGTGACCGCTCGAGTATCGCGATCGCGAGGGATGATCGTCGACCTTGGAAAGATGCGAGGATGCAGCGCGGCAAACGCATTATTCGGTGTATTCAACAGCTCGTTATTTTGTAATTAGCCGTTAAGAGGCGGATTCGTCGTTATTCACGATCGGAATCGATGAATCGTTAGATTGAATTTTAAAGTGCTTTACAAGTGAACTAACACATATCAGTAGGCAGTACGCTATTATTACATTAACATAGAGTGGTATTCGCGTAAGGATATATTAGAGGTTAATATAAAATATGAAGAAGTATATATATATATATATATATACATATATCTACAGATAGATATATATATATGAAGAAAAAATATATATAAACCACACTTAAAGTACAGGGGCGAGAAGTACATGTCAATCAGATATTTTGTACCGTCTCTAGAAAATTACTCTAGCGAGTTCGTTTTATTTCTTTTTTATATACGTATATATATACACGTGTATAGGCATAAATACAGTATCGTGAAAGCGAATCCTGCGCAACGCAATGCGAAACGAATCATGCGAAACGTGAGCGTGACCGGGACCCTATAGCGCTCTTTTATTCTAAAAGAAAAGTAGCGAAAAGTATCGTTTATTGAGCGAAAAACTCGGAAGGAAATCGTACATTTAACAAATAAAATGTAAATAAAACAATTATTAATTAATGGCGATATGGAGAATTGAAAACAAATGTCATATATAAATATGACCTTGATTCTTTGTTTTACATTCATAAATATAAGAATTTACGAATTAATGAATTAACGAATATGTATAAAAGATATCTGTGAAACATTCAAATATTTTGAAAATTAAGAAATAAGTAGGAATTTGCAGCATTAAACTGATTTCATCGATTGTACGATTTTTCCTTCGAGAAGACATGCTCCTGTTTTAATATCATTTATTCGCATGATGAATCCACTGTACACTTCGGCAAATTACAACTCGAATGGTTTGCATACTGAAAAATATCTTATAAAATTTGATCTACAATAACAACTTCGCGTGAAACTCATTGAAAAGGGGAAGAAAACGAGATCGAAGAACGCGAGATCACCAAAGATGGCAATGTATCGATCCAAAGACTACCAATAGACCTCACAAAGACTATATTCACGCTGTGAAAAAAACCGTTAATATGCACCACCTGATGCTAGACTGCACCAATCTACCGTAATAATAGCGCGAAGAAGAATCAAGGCAGATATTTGAATTGCACGGAAGTATAATTCGCCTTTGCTTTTTGAGTTTCTCTCGTAGACCCCGATTCCGTCCTCGTAGGAAAATTCTACTGCAGGATCGATCCTCGAGATTCTAAAGCTTCTGCACATCTATAAAATTATACGAAAACCATAATCCAAAGCTATTTTAATTTGAAGTTTTACGTTTGATTAATATCGAGATGAATATTGCATTACTTTTTCCAATAAATAACAGATGAAGAATGAAAAAATTGCATTGACACTGCGGTAGTCAGAGATCATCCGTAAAAGCTTACAATTGATGGTGACGAATTGTCATTAGGCTTTTTGATTTAAAAAAAAAATCTGGCAGAAAATAATATAATAATTGAATTCTATATTTTTTGTTTAAAATTAGTTATGAAAATCACGTTTCAAATTTGCCAGGGCCGAAGAAAGGCTACGTACCTTATCATAATATAAATATGAGCATATAGGGCAACCAGGATTAATAGAGTGCTCCTTCGAGCCTGACCACACTTCGAAAGTAATGACCATAGTAGTATTGCCGAGACACCAAAAATGAAAGTGAAAGTGAGAAGGCACGATGAGATATGCATAGACAAAATACATATCAATTTTTTAAAGCGCGCGAAATGCGAAGCGGATTTGTCGTGGCGATATATATCGGGTAAACGGACAGAGCTTCGCACCGATACCAGTGATAAGTGTCGAGGGTGGAAGGGAGTTTATACATTCCGGACGAATGATCTATAGGGAGGAGGGGGTGAATAAGAGGGTGAAGGTAGAGAGAAGTATGATAGTCTAAAAAACAGCTTTCCTATTATTTGATTACGATTTTGTTAATTGACTTAAGCAACCGCGAGAACTCGTTCTAGCGGCGGATTATTATACGTCACGATGTTTTTCGGAGTTTTATAAGAATTGCGAGTAGGTAGTTAAGTAATCGTAGACTGTTCTACATAGCTGTTAATCGTAGTATCACACGCGCTTTCTGTGGTATTTAGTTGATTCTGTCATTGATGTTACATCCGTCTGACGACGCGCGACGTAAGTAAAGACGAAGCTAGACGAATATATATATATGTATATGTACCGTGGACTTCGATATCTTAGAATATAACTGCTAGAGCAGACATCTGTATTTTTTTTCATTTCAAAGTACTCGTACGTTGCAATTTTATTTAGATGAAAACTATTATAATTATCATGATATTTTTATTAGTAATGGATTTACATTAAAAATATCTATAAATAGGTGCGCGGTAAAAAATATGATGTCTGTTCGAAGCCGTTAAAGATCGAAGTGATCCGTGGTATTTTAACTGAAAGTAATTGAAATAATTAAGCAATTCGGCGACGCACGTACGTGTGGAATCGAAAGTGTAGTCAATTTGTATATTGCAATTGTCGCAGCCTGATGGCGAGTTTGATTCGTTATGTAGCAAAAATATAGACGGCTTGCGTGTTCTTATTGAAGCCGGTCGTGCTCAGGTAATCCACGTATATTATATTTATACGATTATGTCGCGCGTGTCGTGTAATCGATTAACGTGGGTATCTTTCGCTCGGGCACATCGGTATCGCTTACGCGAAACAT